AAACAGAGACGGGCATGATCCACAGGTCTAAGGGTATCGGGGGCCCTGGGACTCCAGGTGGGACTGAGCAGGACTTGAGAAGAGGAGGATTGGGGCTGCTCTGTGCAAAATCATTACACAGAGCAGATAAGTATGACATGTTCATTATTTTAATGTAAAAAACAAACTGCAGCGTTAATGTAACTTTAAGGATGTTATACATGTAAATTATTTTCTGTGCTATAACGGATTGTGTTTCCACATAGTGCAGTTTTGTACAGAGAGCAAAAAAGCATCCAACCATCTAAAAGTCCTGCCACAGCCAGTGTGAGTAGGAGCTAATTTACATGGCAGCATATCTCTAAACAATGAAAAAACTCAAAAAGATCATCCAAAGGCCATATAGGTAGCATGCTTGCTGGGGACTGTATCCAGGACCACAGCAGTACATGTATTCAGATCTAACCACTTACTGCACATTTATACGTCTTCGGACTGACTTCTGGATTTTCTGATACCAGTGCCCTACATCTGTAATTTTCCATATAGGCAGCTGCCAGGGAAGCAGAAGATCAGTTAAAGTAGGTCAGGAAAGGAGGATCAAAAACATGAGACAAATTTCCTAATTCAGATAAACTCTGGCCAGTGATGCATTAGCAGATAAACCAACAGGACACGGGGTCATTGGCCATCAGGACTTCATTCTGTAACAGGACTGTCTGTGGTATCTACCTGGAACTCATCTAAATCAATTCTATTGGGAAAACGAAAGCCACATTAAATACTGTATATCTTTTATGATAATAAATATATTGGTATCTCAAGAAGGTGACAAGTTAAAAATCAGATTGCAAAGAGCTGCTGTGCATTCTATCCTGGTCTAAATCATCCTCTACATGTTGCTGTTAAATATAATGGTAGCTGCACTAATACATGTTTAGATTGCTTTTGTTTTGGGTGTTTATACTTTTTAAATTGTAGTTTTCACATGGAGCTTCAACGTCCTGACTGCTGGTCCTGCATTGTACTTAAAGCGGAACTTCACCCAAAAGGGGAAGTTCCGCTTGTTTGTATCCTCCCCTTCACTGCCACAATTGGCACTTTTTTAGGGGGAGGGGGTAGCAGGTATCTGGTTTTAAAAAGTACCCGCTCTCGCTTCTAGTGATCAGAGCCGGAAGTTTGGCTCCTCCTCCTTCCCCTACAGCCTTCTGAGACACTTCACAGGTCCCAGAAGAGTGCAAGACCATTCACAAAGTGCAGCGCACTTCACGCATGCGCAGTAGGAAGCTGGCTGTGATGCCGCAAGACTTCACTGCCAGTTTCCCTTACTTAAGATGCTACCGAATTGAAGAATCAGCTTGGGTGAGGACAACACTGGATCTCTGGAAAGATGTGTCCTAATAGTAAAAGTCAGCAGCTACAGTGACTTTTCATTTTTTTGGGGGGAGCCTGGAGCACCGCTTTAATGATGTTGACAAGGGAGCAGCTGCAGGGCAGACAAAAAGCAGTGGCTTCACTTGACTGGTTGTCCACCTTGAAACTGATGGGGATAAAGCCTGCAGTGAGGAACAAGGTGAGTATTTGTCTTTATTACATCCCCCCTCCCCAGAGTAAACAAACACTTGAAGGGGTAGAAGGCAAATAAAACTTAACATAATAAAGCTTAATTTGATCTGCCTTTAAAATTAACATCATTTTCAATGGTTTTGCACAGAGCAGTCCTGATCCTCATCTTCTGTAGTCCCCTGCCGATGCTCCTAGATCCTAGCCCCTTCCGAATGCCCACCATAGCAAGCCATTTGCTATGGGGGCACTCATGTGGGTTAGTTCCCAAGTCTGCTCTGTGTATCCATTGACATACACAGTGTTACTTGGCACCACCCCCCCCAATCTCTCCTCATTGGCTGTCATTGACAGCAGCAGGAGTCAATGGCTCCCACTGCTGTTTCTGAGCCAATGAGGAACCACTGCTCCTGTGCATAGCACTGGACAGAAATTGGGCTCAGGTACGTATGAAGGAAGATTAGAGGGGAGCTGCATTTAGAAGATTTTTTACCTTAAAGTGGTTGTAAAGGTTCTTTACCTTCATGCATTCTATGCATGAAGGTAAAAAAATCTTTTGTGTGCAGCAGCACCCCCAGCCCCCCCCCCCCTAAAACTTACCTGAGCCCCATCCCAATCCAGCTATGTGCACAAGAGCCTTGGATCACCCAGGTCTCTCTCTCCTCATTGGCTGAGACAGCAGCAGTGGCCTTTGGCTCCCGCTGTGCTTCATATCAAGCTGCTTGCTGTGGGGGCACAGGGCAGGAAGGAGGATTGGGGCTGCTCTGCACGAAACCAATGCACAGAGCGGGCAAGTGTGACACATTTGTTTTAAAAAAAAAAAGCCTTTAATATCACTTTAATGAAGACAATGTATTAAGGTAAAAATACCCTTCTGCCTTTAGAACCACTTTAATCTCCAAATGAATAACTGGTGATTCTGCTATGAAGGTCCTATTCAGGCACTTCCTGTTATAGGGTGACAAAGTTCTGTCCCTTTCTCACAGTTGCCTTCCTGCGTTGTCACCCTGTTACATGTTGTTTTCTAGTAAAGGCTGTGGCTAGTCAAGTTGCTGCTCAATGCACAAGCATTTTACTCCACTTCATCATCAAGAAGCCCACCCTCCATGCAGCCTCCGCTGAACCAAGTGCATATAGACAGGATGTGGCTGCAGAGAGGCTGTAGGAGAGCAGCAGCACTGTTATGCAACAAATGATGAGATAGAAACACTAAAAACAGCATTTTACAAAAAGAAAAAACATAACAATTGTTTACTATACACAGTTTTTGAGCACTTGTCATCTAGTTAGGGTTTACATTACTTTCCTTTCATATGTGAACAAAGATTGCTGGATCACTGTAAATTAGTTAAAGGAGAAGTACAGCCAAAGCTGATTGTCTATAGCCCTGGCCAAAAGTTTTGAGAATGACACAAATAATAATTTGCTTGCAAGGAAGCGTTCAGTCATCATTGCTTTGCACAAAAAAGGATTCACAAACAGAGATAATGCTGCTTTTAAGATTGCACCTAAATCAACCATTTATCGGATCATCTGAATTTCAAGGAGATTGGTTCCATTGTTGTAAAGGCTTGAAGGCGCCCAAGAAAGTCCAGCAAGTGCCAGGACCGTCTCCTAAATTTGATTCAGCTGTGGGATTGGGGCACCATCAGTGCAGAGCTTGCTCAGGAATGGCAGTAGGCAGGTGTGAGTGCATCGGCACGCACAGTGATGTGAAGACTTTTGGAGGATGGGCTGGTGTCAGGAACGGCAGCAAAGAAGCCACTTCTCTCCAGGAAAAACATCAGGGACAGACAGATATTCTGCATAAGGTACAGGGGTTGGACTGCTGAGGACTGGGGTAAAGTAATTTTCTCTGATGAACCCCCTTTCCGATTGTTTTGGGAATCCGTAAAAAACCTTGTCCAGAGAAGAAAAGGTGAGCACTATCATCTATCCTGTGTCATGCCAACAGTAAGGCATCCTGAGACCATTCATGTGTGGGGTTGCTTCTCAGCCAAGGGAGTGGGCTCACTCACAATTTTGCTTAAGAACACAGCCATGAATAAAGAATGGTATAAAAACATCCTTCGAGAGGAACTTCTCCCAACCATCCAAGAACAGTTTCATGAGGAACAATGCCTTTTCCAGCATGATGGAGCACCTTGCCATAAGGCAAAAGTGATAACTAAGTGGCTTTGGGTAGAAAACATCAAAAGTTTGGGTACATAGCCAGGAAACTCCCCATACCTTTATTCCATTGAGAACTTGTGGTCAGTTCTTAATAGGTGGCTGAACCCCCCCCCCCCCCCCCCCCCACCCCCCACACACACACACACACACACACACACAACAAATTCTGATAAACTCCAAGCATTGGTTCTGCAAGAATGGGCTGCCATCAGTCAGGATGTGACCCAGAAGTTGATTGACAGCATGCCAGGGTGAATTGCAGAGGTCTTGAAAGAGAAGGGTCAACACTGCAAATATTGACTCTTTGCATAAACTTAATGTAATTGTCAAAAAAAACCTTTGACAATTATGTAATGCTTGTAATTCTACTTCAGATACCATAGTAACATATGACAAAAAGATCTAAAAACACTGAAGCAGCAAAACGTTTGCCCAAGGCTGTAGGCTGGGGAAGAATCCCAACTCTCAGTTCTCACCCTTAGAGCCGGCGGGGGACAGATGCAGCATAGGATCAATGCTGCATCCACCTAGGTAAGAATAAATAAAAAACAAATCCCATACTTCTCTTTTAAAGCCACAGCAGAGCAGACAAACCTGCAATGAAGCCTTGCTTTGACAGATGCAAATCTTTTGCATGAAGCTCATTTTTTATTTCAGCAATTGAGAATGTCTCTTCAGTTGTTTCTCACGCTCTCCCAAGCAGTACCTCTCACATAAAAGAGCCAGTCCAACCAAAACTCATATAGCAATCATAGAGGTCTAGTTAGCTGACAGTATGATATCAAAAATTAGGGTAAACAGTGCATCACTCATTTATCCAGTATGCCTACATTTTTTTTATGATGATTTGTTCAGTTAGAATCATACTGTGTATGGACCCAATTGTCTGGATTCCTGAACTGTGTAATTCAGCCAGATCTGCACGGAAACTTGTGATTTGCCGATTTTCCTGTTTTTTGTTTTTTTTTTGTATTTTCAGCTGGTCTGACAGATGTGTGAAGAACCACACAACTGAGGTATATACATGGCACATCTGCATGAATATATTTAACAATAAAAAAAATACTCATTCGTCTGGGTACAGGTGTAAGGACCTATTCACAGTTGTCTATTCTCTTACAGTAAATGTATATGTTGTACTGCATAAACATGCATTTTAAGTACAAATCCTGTTATTATTATGTGGCAACTTGACAACTCTACACTGCAGCTTATGTAGAGCTCGCCCCTCACAAGTGTCTCTGATAAGGAAGCAGGATGGCAGATAATACTTTTTTCTTGTATAACTTCGGCCTCAAACCTGGTCATTGTGTGGAGGTGGAGGGCTTCATTCCGAGGGCTGTAGAAAGTTTTTCATCAACTTGGGAAAAGATGCCAAGAATTTTGAGGTACACTTTGATATTCGATTTGACTTCCAGGGAGAAAAGCATATTTTAGCCTTGAACTCGATGGAGGACGGTGTCTGGGGAGTGGAGCAGAGGAAAAGAATCTTTCCGTTCCAGGAGGGATCAGACACCGTGGTTTGCTTCCAGCTTGAGCTAGACAAGATCACCATACAATTACCTTCATTTCCAGTCCGCTTTGCCATAGAGGAGAAAACCTCTTGGCTGTGGAAAACCTCCGGATCAAGTCTATCACATTTAAATAAAGAATCCCTCAATAGAGGAGCTGCCTGTCCCATGTGTCCATATCCGGGCTCTGTAAATTGGCCATTGTGGAGAAAGTTAAAATGTATTTTCTCCTCTTTTATACCCCCCCCCCCCCCCCCCCATCCAATCTGCATCCTTGCTGCTCATGTAGACATACATTGTGCTTTGCTCAGTCCATTTAGTACAAATTAATTTCATCCATATTTCAAATAAAATCCAATCCAATGAAAAAAAAAAAGCTCACCCTTGAAGGGGCTGCTGGAAAGTAGTACGGGGCCACCAATCACTGCACACCAACAATTAAATCTCAGCCTAGGGGAAATCTTTTTATCTTTTTATGATTTATTGTAGCACAACTTTAACAGGAAGAAGGGCTTTACGGTCATGGGATACTCGTAGAGGTTCGGCAACAGCACAGGAGGACAAAATTCTCTCCAGTCTCTTAATAGCAGCTTTCTGGAGGTAGCAGGGGATGGTAAGAATGTCTAAAGCCCCACAGCTACAGATCACAGGGCAATTACTGGCCACAGATCCCTTCTGGCACTTGTGCAATTAATAGTCCCCAACAAGATCTTTACTCACAGGGGCTGATTTCCTAAAACTGGAGAGTGAAAAATCTGGTGCTGCTGTGCATGGTAGCCAATCAGCTTCTAATTTCAGCTCAAATCAATTAAGATTTGAAAAAAAAAAATTGGAAGCTGATTGGTTTGTTTGCAGAGCTGCATCAGATTTTGCATTCTCCAGTTTTAGTAAATAACCCCCACAATGTCCTGGGAGCCATCTAGTCTCCACAGGTAGATCTCTTGTGGGGAAGATAGAAAACTCCTTCTCCAGACCAGGACTCTGAAGCAGTGTCCTTCAGTAGGTATGCCTCCTCAGCAGTTCTCAGAAGTCCCTTAGCCCATCCACTGCTGAGGCCCAAACTATAATGTCTTGTCTCTTGTGATTCTTCTCCTAGAAGCAGCAGCCTCAGGAGTACTGGAACCCTCCCTGACAAGGAAAGAACAAAATGTTCAGGCCTCCTGTCTATTATCACCCCCCCCCCCCCCCCCCCCTGCCCTCTGGATGTACAGTTCCAGGCATTGACTAGGGCAGAGCTTTTTTTTTAGCTGCAACTTGGTGGAACTCCAACACCACCTTTGGCTCAGGCCTTCTCCTCCCTGCTCACCACCACAGCTTGTCTCCCAATGGCTTCCTCAGATCTGATCTCCTGAGTGGCTCCACTGAGTGCAGAATGGGGACAAGGGAGATGCAGGTGCCAACACCCCCACTGGATGATCTCCCTGCAAGTGAGAGGTGTAGCCCCCTACAGTGTGTGGTGTGGTACTAGAACCAGCTGTGTGCTTCAGCTTAATACAACAAAAGGAAGACACGTGGAAGATACACTCTGTGGGTAATCTACCCCTGAACTCTGCACTCTGTATGCAGTGCACCCCTGAACTCTACAATATGTAAGTAGCGTACCCCTGCACTCTGTATGTAACTCTCTCCTGGTATTTAATACCCCTTTAAGACCCTCCCTCTGTTAGTAAAATGTGACCGCAGCCACTATTTTATGTGCTTTGGAGGGTGTGTGCATGGGGGAGGGGTGTTTTAGGGGGTTGTGGTTGAGTTGCGGCACCTATGTATTGAGGAAAAAAGCCCTGAGTCAGGGTATGATAAATATTCAGCTGATCTTTTGAATCTCCCTCCCTATGCTCTGAAAGCGGCAACCACACTGTCAGCTCAGGAACCCTGAGCAGATCCAAATAACCAACAACCACTTTTTTGATTACAATGAAGTCAAACTAAACTTACCTAACAGCCAAACTGGAAGCAACCACTCCACTCACTATAGTGGAGCCAATAACTAAATTTACCTAACAGTCTAACTGAGAGGGTCCCACACCTATAAAAATAAGACAATGTTGCATTAGAGCCCAGATCCAGGCAATCTTTTTTGGGATAAGTAGGGGAGGTTTCCCTTTTGGGTAGATTTACCCTAATTCTCATTATGTTGCCAAAACTTTATAGTTGCCACCTAACCACGGAGTGAGGAAAAATCTTAAGCTGGCCATACCTGGTCCAAAAATTCTAGTTTTCTGAACATTTACTTGATTTTCTAATAGTCAGTGGAGTCAAATCAACATTAATTGTGGTAGCAAGAAAATTTAAAGGAGCAGAGTGGTATTTTTTTTTAATGAATTTCTAAAAGCACATAAGGTTTTTGTTTGGGAAAGTCCTTTCTTTCCAAAAAAGCAAACAAAATTTTTAATTACTTTCCAATGACATTTGTCAAGTCATTGAATTTTTGTGTGAACACTATAATTGTTTGTAAAATCTACTAATGTGTGTCCAGCTTTACAAAGGGAGCAAAGAATATGTAAGCACTAACAATGAACTTATTTAGTCTGTTAACCACTTGACCCCCAGAGGGTTTTACCCCCTTCCTAACTGGGGCAATTTTTTGCTAATCTGTATTGTGATATTTTAACTGGCAATTGCTCAGTCATGCAACACTGTATCCAAATGAAATCATATTTTTTCACACAAATAGAGCTTTCTTTTTGTGGTACTTGATCACTACTCGGTTTTTTATTTTTTATTATATGACCAAAAAAAGAATGAACATTTTGAAAAAAAAAACAATATTTTCTATTATAAAACATATCCAATAAAATAAAATTTCTTCATAAATTTAGGCCAAAATGTACTCTTGTCTTTGGTGAAAAAAAAATCCCAAGTGTATATTAATTGGTTTGTGTGAAAATTCTAGCATCTCAAACTATGGTATATACAGTATACTGGAATTTATACGGCTATAGACACTATACTAATAAAATGGAATAAAGCGAGCGCTCATAAAATAGAGTAAGTTGTAGCAGCTAATTTGAGGAAATCACAATAACCTCACGTCCTGTAAATGGTAAAATATAAAGTGCAGCGCTAAAATGAGTAATCAATAAATTTGAAAAATTAAATATAAGTTCATTTAAAAGTTTGTGCAATCAATAAACTCATATGAGGCACTAATGGAACACTTCCATAGTTGTAGATATCTCATAAAGGCTTGTGATAGAGGAAATGACAGAAATGCGCACTCACCGACCGCGCATAGAAAATGCGCATATAAACATCCATCAACCCAGGTGTGAAACAGCGGGTAGGTGATGAGGCATCCCTCAGGAAAAGGTTGTCATCAAGCAATGGTCAGCCAGGACTTAGAGGACTCCTTTAAGGATGTGGGTAAAAACACCTGGATACAGGGCTCCCTCCTCTGGATGTTGAATGTAGTATAAGCTGTGCTTAGGATCTGTATATAGGCAGAAATGTACTCCTGGCCCATCAGGGATGTCAGGCTTCTGGTACAAGACTCTGCGGCCTGTTCAGGATACATGGGTACATCCGCCGGCCACCTCCTCCTCCGCCTCTCTATCCAACACCTGTGTTAGAGATTCTGGATATAGCCCTACAGAACAAACAGTGAGTGCACAGTCCACATGTGTTTCTGCTGTTTCTCTGCAAAGAGGAACTTTATTCAGGAAAAAAGACAAGAGTTTTATCATAGATGCAGCTACAAACGTATAAACATCTACTGGTTGAAGAATATACCTCTACTGAATACTTATACTGATGTACTGAAGTAGTTGATGCACTAAAATACATGAACATTGTAGTTCAACAAAAGAGCAATGAAGGGGTTAACTGTGTACCTAACGCATGTAATGTGTGCTGCTTTTATTCACAGATCTGGCTGTTTTTTCTCCCTGCTTTTCAGGGAGCAGAAACAGCCAGTTTGCTGTTCTGTGTACAGAGTTCTGTGGGTTTATAGCCAAAATCATTGCCTGAAACCTGCTGACAAACTCATGCTGTGTCCAATCACAGAACGAGTCGGCGGGGGGCACACGCATGTACGCACACACCCTAAACCCAGAAGAAAGGCTGCGACATATGGATACATCACCTAGCCTGGCTGTATCGCCCGCACACAGTAAAATGTACTGTGGGTTGGCGGCAAGCAGTCATATATAACATTGAAAGCCTTTTCAGAAAGATACCTAGATGAGAACCACAGTCCAACCTGCATTCTTCCAAGTCATTTAAATAGATCATCCACAATGTGTCACAGACATACTGATTTCACAGAAATAAACCATCTCCTCCTTAACCTCCTCGGCGGTCTGATTATTTCTGATTTTTTTGTGCTGAAAGCAGTACCATTTTTTTGCATGGAAATATGTAGTTTTTTTATTGTAGGCTGTAATTTTTAGGAATAACTCACTGAAATCTGTCCGAACAAGAGTCTAGTAAACATCCCGGGTAGGATAAAATTTGAAACACGAAATCATAAATTATAATTAAATAAATAATCATAAAAAATTATAATAATAATAAATTTAATTCAATAATATAATCAAACCAAAAAACACTGAAATTTGAAATACAGAGGCAAATTCGCACATCGCTGAGTAAAGTCGCAAAATCGTTTTCAGTGTCTGATGATGAATTTCCCCACAAATCATTATCACTCAATTCTGCAAGTGGTTCTGATTTACTATCACTGTTCTCTAGCTGGGACGCTTTTTGGACGCCATGGACTTTTCTAAGTTTCCAGGCAGAAAGAACAGTCAAAATGCAGGCAGGGCACAGGACAAAGCACTCGGGACAAAATGTATGTGAAATGCACTGAAACAGCAATGTTTTACTATGTAATAGTCATTTTAAAAAAAAAATGAAACGTCACAGGGACCGGAACACGGAAGCCGGATGCCAGCATCGGACGGAGGAGATGGCCGGGGACGCTGCAGGGGACACATCTTGGGAGCGAAGGACAAGGTAAGTGCTGCAGGGACTCCCAGAGCAACGCCACATGCTAAGCCCGAGTGTAGCTCGGGGTTACTGCTTTTGGTACTGACATTTTACCCCGAGCTACACTCGGGAATACCGCTAAGGAGGTTAATGCGTTCCATCACATAGTGGCTTGATCACAAGTCACTATGTGTTAAAACATGTTGAAGAGATGTATTATTTGTGTGGAATCTCTATTCCTGTCCTAGGGGAACAGTACTGCTCCTTTATAAACACTATACACCGAGTGAGCGTTGTCATCTTAGGACAGGAAGTGTGTCACTGGCAGGATCACAGATGAAAATAAGGGGAAAAAACCTGAACAAAAAAAAAACAGTAATCTGCAATGTATAATATATCTGGGG